TTGCAATCCAAATGAAGTTGGCTGAGCAGACATCCTCTGGTGCACAGTTGAGTAAGCAGCTCTTTCCCTGAATAACACTGCAAAAGCTCACTTGCTTGTTTATCATGTGTTTAATAAAGGCCTTCATAGATCTAATGCCACAGACAGAACTGTCCAATCACCCCACGTCCCCTGAAAAACACACAAAACTTTTCAACATACTCATTTAGTCCAGTTCTGAGGCAGGACTTGACATGCCAGCCCAATGGATTTAAAATAGGCAGTTGAAAATCATAATGGAACCATGACTGCCTAAGTGTGAGCTACAGTGACAGTGTGGTGTAGTGGTTAGGGTGCTGGAATAAGACCTGGAAGCCCAGGGCTGAAATCCCCACACAGATAAGAAGCTTGCTGGGTGACCTTGAGCCAGTCACTCTCTCTTAGTCTAATTCGCCTCTCAGGGTTTTTGTAAAGATAAAACATAGAGGAGCCTTGAGCTCCTTGGAGGAAATAATAATTTGTCGTTGTTATGTCTCTACCATACAACAACAACAAATAATTATTACAGTTGTTGCAAGCCACAGGGCATGCAATGCAACTAGTCTCATAGTTTTGGTAAGTGTGCGTGCTCTTTCGGACACCCTGGTCAACAGTTGGAAAGCGCTCTCTTTGCTGGCAGCCACTGCAGGGGGAAAAACCCTCTTTCTGCTACTTGGAGACTGAAAATGCTGTAGTATTTGTAGCATAAGAAACCATGGTGTCAGCTGAAAAGAGACTGCCTCCACCTCGGGTTACAGAAGCTTCAGGTTACAGACTCCGCTAGCCCAGAAATAGTGCTTCAGGTTAAGAACTCTGCTTCAGGATAAGAACAGAAATTGTGCTCCAGCAGCGTGGCGGCAGCAGGAGGCCCCATTAGCTGAAGTGGTGCTTCAGGTTAAGAACAGTTTCAGGTTAAGTACAGACCTCCGGAACGAATTAACCTGAGGTACCACTGTACATGCATTGATAGCCTCTTTCTTTTTCTATACAACGTATTTATAACTTTTATAGGGTGTTGAGTTTGTTGGTGTTGAAGTGAGCAGGCACCCACTTAAAAGAAAGCCAACACGCCCCACTTGCCTTTATTTATTTGTTTTTGCTAGCTGCTTCTGAGCATTAACGGTGTCAACAGACAAAAAATGGTGTGCCCAATGCAAAGCATTTCTCTCCCCGTTAAATTACCAAGTCAAGCTTCTCCTTTCTCAATGAAGCTACAGCAAGGATACATCTGTTTGAAAGGAGCCTTTAGAAGTTGTAATCACGCTGTTCCTCTCTCCACCCCCACCCCAACTAGCAGTTGCTGAGTAGCTAAGGTGGTTCTAAATAAAGAACTGGAGTCAACAACAGGAAATAACTCCCACAGAAAAAAAGAGGCACACAGAGAGAGAGTGAGAGAGAGCGCAGAATGCAAACTCTCACAAACCCTTGCACACAGCTGGTAATGACCTTTTTGTTCTACACATGCTGCATCTAAAACCATTGCTTTTCAGAGCATGCCTTTTCATCAAAACAAGTAAACCTGTCACTGGCAGCAAGGTCTCTCAAGCTCCGCCCACCCAACCCTGCCCATTTGTCCTGCCACAGTGCGGCCTCTTCTACCATGTCAGCTGCACACATGACAACGGTCGGGTGTGCTCTCTGAAAATAAGACATGCTTCTTTTTAAACTTGTGCATTTCTTTCCAACGTGTTCTCGAAAGGAGAAGTAGGGGTGGAGGTGGGGCGAGGCAGCGGCATAGCGTTGGTTGCTGGTGCCCGGGGTGGGTGCGTACGTGTTGGGGATAGCAGCCCTCGTGGCCAATGGAGTGACCCCAACCCCGCCGGAGCAAAGTGGGGCCACACTGAGCTGCCTTCTGACCTGGCTGGCCGACGTGGCCTTGGGGTCACTGAATGCAAAAAGAGGCAGGGTTACCAGCTTCCATAAGAATGCAAGAAGAGCTTGCTGGAGCAGACCAGTAGGGCTGGGCAATATCTGGGTTTCAACATCATGATATACCAATATATCAGGATGTCTGAAACTAGTATGGAGCTATGTGGAGGCATTGGCTGGCTTCACGGTTTCCCCCACATTGTTATTTTTGCATAGCCCGCATGCACACACACACACACACACACACTTCATGATATATTGCCAGGTCAAAAATTATGAAATATGGACTTCAAATTGGTTTGGACAATATATTGATATATTGCCCAGCCCCACAGAACAGTGGCCTATTTAGTTCAGCAATTCTGTTCTCACAGTGGCCAATCAAAGCCCACGGACAGGACACGAAGAGCAAGAACACTCTCCCCTCCTGTGGTTTCTAGCAACTAGAATTCAGAGGCATAGCACCTCCAACAGTGGCGGCAGAACACATCCAACAGGGTGAGTCGTGTCCATCGCTTTAAATTCAAAAGCTATTCTGCCTCCCCCAGCTTGGTGCCATTCCAGATGTTGGATTCCAGTGTCCTTCAGTTTCATCCAACATTGAAAATGGTCTGGGATGATGGAAATTGTAGTGCAGGAACATCTGGAGGTCACTGGGTCAGGTGCCCTTCAGATTGAAACAGAGGAAATCTGGAAACATCCAGCAACATCACCTATAACAATTTTCTAGGGATATTTGGTAGAACCCTCCACAACTCGGCAAGAAAAAAATGCAGTGAGTTTTTGAAGCAGCATAAAATCTCCAGGGTTTTCGTGTTTATGAAAGGGGAAGGATCAAACTCCTGCATATACCTTGGAATAAGAGGCGATGAGCTGTCCATGTAATGAAGAGACAATTTACTTATTACAGAATGCTAGTTAGGGTTCTCCAAAGGCAAATCCAGCACTTACGAGAGACTGCAAAGCCTACCACTTTCTCAGAAAATCTTGAGATCTCATCTGCTGAATGTTCTTTGGGAGCACCTAAAGTCATATTAATAATGCACTTCTAAGTGCCTAATGCTTTTTTACTTTCTGTACCATTTACACTGAAGCAGGTCTTTCTCCCCTAGATTTATAGCAAAATGGTTGCCATCTTCACAAAAGATCCATGCTGTTCTGGATCTTCTGGGGAAAGCCAATATTATTTGACCCCCAGTTTACCTGGTATGTAAAGCAGAACCTTAAGTGCTATTGAGATAGATCCACTGAGGACAATACTATCAGGAGTAATGAGCTATACTCTCTGGCTACCTGTGAATGATCCACAGGCCTGGAGTTCCATTTCCAAATTTAACTGCAGCCTAATTGTTCTGTGGAGTCAGTAATCGGCCTCTTGACACACCCTACTGAATTGCCCGAAGTTAGCAAGCTGTTTAATACTGCCCTGTCCCGAAGCTCCTAGTGCAAAAGGGACTGAGCTATTAATGAATGGGAAGTGAACCCTCAGTCTTATGAGGAAGCTCTAGCAAAAGAAAGCTAGTTCACTCTGCAGATAGGAAATTTCTGCCCATCAGAAATGACTGACGAGCTGTTTACAAAGGGATGCAAAAAACAGAGAAACATACAAAGATAATCATAATCTCTCGAAACACCATAAAGTCTACAGCAGCACTATGTTTTCAGAGCGGTGTTAATTTTCAACAGAACCGCAATCACCATTTGAACCAACAGACCAGAGTAAAAAATGAACATATTTAAGACTTTTGTCTTCTGGGTTTCTGGGGGTTTTCCTGTTGTTATTCTGTCTTTCACAGCTACAATAAACCTACCATTAAAATTAAAATTATGGACTGGTCATTTCTTCGTCAGAGGGCAAACGGGCAAATTTAGCAGGGGATCAAATACTTTCCCCCCTCACTATATATCTTTCACAACATTTGCAAAAATGCACCACTCATGGTGGATTGTTCTAACCCAGGGGTCTGCAACCTGCGGCTCCGGAGCCGCATGTGGCTCTTTTACACCTTTGCCGCGGCTCCGGGGCGGATACTAGCGAGGGGAGGAGGCGCATTGTGCGCCCCAACACTCCCCACTGTGGCGGGCGCTGTACTGGCTGTGACGTCGCATGGGGCGTTAGACATGCACCGTCCCGACGTCACCTTCCCGCCCGCCCGCTACATTGTAAGGGGCATGTACACTGGTCACTGCATTGAAAGGGGGAATGTACGCTGGTCACTGTTTTGAAGGGGAGTGAAGAACACACACACACAAAAAGGTAACTTGTTAATTTAACGTTTATTTCTATGAGGAGAAGTAATTCTGAGGGGTCAAACAAAGAAATAATTTTAAAAAGTGACAAAAAAGTTATTTTTTTAATGACGAGTTTTGCGGCTCACAGGTTTTTTTAATTCGGAAACGGGTCCAAGTGGCTCTTTTTGTCTTAAAGGTTGCAGACCCCTGTTCTAACCAAATCACAGTACTCTTTTGCAGGCACAGATGCATTCTGCCCCAAGATCAAGAAGGGCTGGAATACGCAGGAAAGATGGTCTTAATGCTACCCAAACTGCAGCTGGGAGATGACCTGCAATCTGATAGAAGGGAAATAAGCAGTAGTTGGCTCAGAAGAGGCAGAAAACGAGAGGATCAGATGGGTAGCTAGATGGGTCAAGAAGAGGACTCTGTGGGTCGTTGAAGTTTTTTGGGCTGAGATGGTGATGAAACTTGGGTCAGGAAGATGGTATTTAGGTATGCCTTTGCACAAGTCTTTTGATGAGGCCCTCCAGATGTGATGGGCTTCCTATCAACCCTGGCCATTGGTCATGCTGGCTGGTGCTGGCAGGATCTAAAGTCCAGCAACACCTGGAGACTCCCAGGTTCCCCAGCTAGATAAAGCCTACCTCTTTGAAAAATGTAGTTCAGATAAAAGTTCTTCTAGCACAGCTGACCACTGCCCTCTTGCCCATTTCTGTCACTTTGCACAGCTGTCAGGTCTAGCTACTAAATGTGGCAAGTGCTGCGTTCAAGCCTGAAGGCATTTTGACAGCTGGACATGTGCCTCGCAGCTTCCAAGAAGGTGCCAGCCCAAGTGTCAGGAGTGTACAAGCAGTGGAAGAACGCCCACTAGGAGGGAAGATGCAGGCAGCTTCCAAGTACAAATAAGAGAAACGGGACATTCATTTAAGGTCTCTTTTATGGTATCTGGGAATGGCAAGATGTCTCTTAAGTGAGTAAGTAAAACAAATATTCCTCTAGGTTGCCTTGCTTGTCTACTGTAGTCATAACAATGTTTATCTTTATATTTCTCTTTACGTCAATTCCAAGGCTGTATGATTATTTTATCTTGTCTGCTTTATAAAGGGATTGGTAAGGAAATAGCTTTATTGTATTATTAGTATTTTGTACTGTGCTTGATTTTTATTCTATATATAAGGGGTTTAAATTTCTGTTTTGAGATTGATTGATTGATTTGTCTTTGAAATATCTTTAATACACTGTTTGATTTCTTTTGTGTTGTATTGTATCCCTGTACAGTCATACCTCAGAAGCCGAACAGAATCCATTCCGGAAGTCCGTTCGACTTCCAAAATGTTCAGAAATCAAGGTGCAGCTTCCGATTGGTTTCCGATTGTGCAGGCACGCTGGAAACAATAGCGGAAGCAGCGCCGGACATTTGGCTTCCAAAAAAGATTCGAAAACCTTCTGGTTTTCAATCGTTTGGGAACCAGAACGTTCAACTCCCAAGGTGTTCGGGAGCCAAGGTATGACTGTATTCGATTTTTAAATTCTACATTGATTGGACTTTTTGTTTGATATTTGAACTCTATTTTGTAAAAACTCCAGCGGGTGCAGAATGCTGCAGCGAGACTCCTTACGAGGTCTTCGCTGCGAGATCACATACACCCAGTGCTATACCAGCTGCACTGGCTCCCGGTGGAGTACAGGATCAGGTTTAAGGTGCTGGTTTTAACCTTTAAAGCCCTATACAGCCTAGGACCCTCGTACCTACGGGACCGCCTCTCCTGGTATGCCCCATAGAGGAACTTACGGTCTTCAAATAAAAACATCTTGAAGGTCCCAGGCCACAGAGAGGTTAGGCTGGCCTCAACCAGAGCCAGGGCTTTTTCGGCTGTGGCTCCGATCTGGTGGAACACTCTGTCACAAGAGACTAGGGCCCTGCGGGACTTGACATCTTTCCGCAGGGCCTGCAAGACAGAGCTGTTCCACCAGGCCTTTGGCCAGGGCACAGCCTGACTCCCTCCCTCGGCAATCTTCGCGGAGCTCTGGCCCAATGGTTGCCAGTGGCTTGAATTAATGAATTTTATAATGAATGATTTTAGAGTGTTGTTTATGCTGTACTTTTGTATTGTTTTATTGTTGTTAGCCGCCCTGAGCCCGGCTTCGGCTGGGGAGGGCGGGATATAAATAAAAATTATTATTATTATTATTATTATTATTATTATTATTATTATTATTATTAAATGGTTTGATATTCTTTTGCCTGCTACTGGACCTCTGCTTTGTATAATGTTCTGCAATTCTATTAGATTCTTATTTTCTGTAAATTGCTTTTGAATATAAAGCAATTAAGACATTTTATAATATATTGCAAGCACAAAAGTCGAGGAAACTAAGCATGTTCATTAAGCAAGCATGCGATTGCTAGCAAACTCCTGAATGCTGCATCAACTGGCAAAGGCTTTCGGTGCATAGTATTTACCAAATCTTCACCAGCCTTTTTGCATCACTGGTCATAGGCAACCAACATACAATTCCTACCCTTCCCTGGAGAAACAAGTTCCTTCACATTCTTAAAATGAAAGTATGAAAGTTAATCTTGTTTGTTTGTTTGTTTTAAAAAAGGTTAACCATCAAAACCCATTTCCCCACCAAATACTTGCACTACATAGTAACGTAAACCCCTGACAAAAATTCATTTAGAAACCAAAGTCTGCTTTGAACCATTCTAGCCAAGAGAAGCCAATCTGACTAAACTTGAAACATGCAGGCTTGGGAAATTCGTAAGAGAGAGAAAGTCAGCTTTATTTGGCAAGCAGGGAACTGGCTGCCAGGAGAACATCAAAACAACAATGAAAACAAAATACAAACTCGGGAGTGACACTTGGTAGCTGTTCTAGCAAATCTCTTCGGAAAACTTTGGGTTTACAAACCAAAACACGGCTTCAGTCTTTTGTTGCAGTTGTAAAACATTGATACCTACTGCTATCAGCTGCTGCTGAGAGCTACAGTGTTATCACTGAATGGAGATTTTTAAAGGTATTAAGCTTTTCCCCTCCTTTCTCAGCAACTAAAAATCTAGGAGGAGGTGGCAGTAAGTTGCTTCTAAGTTGCAGGCCTTGATGGCTGTCCTTTCAAAATGTGACACAAAAAAAGAATCAGTCATGTTTATAAGTTTGCAGCTTCTTAGCAGAAATTCTGTTAGCATTTTTTTAAAATGCTGTGTTCCTGCCCACTTGCGCTGACACACACAAAGCCTTAACAACAGCAGTGATTCACGGTCGGTTCCAGTCATGCTCACAAGTGATGTGGCACATTTTCGGTGCCTCCGGTATTTGCGTAATTGAGCTTCATTTGCTCTGCCCCCAGCCTGCGAGGAGTGCCAAAAAAGCAGCGGCGTCATCTGCCCACAACTCATCCTCCTACCTGCCTGATGGATGATGCACGCAGCACGACACAGGATGAGGAAGGGAGAAAAATAAGGATGACAAAAGCTGCATTTGCTGATCAGAGAAAGCTTCCTGAATCAAAGCGGGGAGCGGGGGAATAAGAATGAAAGGCTGATAACCATGGATTAGAGTCTCTATTAGACACACAAACTTGCAACTTGTGTGTTTAACATATGCCATTTTCAACTTTACACAGTTAAAGTCTGGCTGGTGGAAAAACACACAAATTAAATGCACAGAAGGCGGAGAGCTTAAAAGCTCATTTTGTGCTGGGTTTTTCTGGGAGGCTCTCAGATGGCCCTGCAAGATCTCACAAGAACCTCACAGAGCCTAGTAAGTAAGGCAGAACACTTAAAAGCAGTTCCAAGGAGTTTTTGCGTGTCCCCGGAACAAAACCCTCACTCAAGTTGTGAGTTCCCTGTATTGTAGCAAAATTACCTGTTCTGAACAAATTAAATCTGTATGCATATTGTGGCACAACTCGGTCTTATTTACTCAGTAGTAAGTCCGACGGAATTCAGTAGAACCTACTTCATGATAGGTGCGCATATCGTCTTTAAACGTTGGGATTTTGGAAAGATGTGTGATGTGTTTCACTTCATAGCAGGGCTTTAGGAAGTGACTTGGTCAATAAATCCATCAGGACAATGGGTGAAGGAGGGTGGAGCATGGACTCTCTCTCTCTCTCTCTCTCTCTCTCTCTCTGTGGTGTGACGTTGTGCATCCCCCAAACATTCACCAGCTCCTCCAGCTCTCAAAATCAGAGAACTCTGTGACCCCACATGCCACCTCCCATTAGGTGCCTAGAAGATGGGAACCAGCTTGAGTCTGCTTCTCAGAAGAGCCCCTTTCAGTGGGAGAATCCCCTAGCCAGAGTCCCCAGGAAAAGGGGAGGAAGGCAAAACAGACTCACAGCATGATCTTTCCAGACTTCCAGCATGAAACATGAATGGCAGAACAAGATGTCAGCATGAACTTCTGGGCGCTTGGCTTTTGCCCCGTTCTACCAACCAATGGGCACAGTGGCAATTTCCCTTAACATAAAAAGGTAAAGGACCCCTGACAGTTAAGTCCAGTTGCAAACAACTCTGGGGTTCTGGCGCTCATCTCACTTTACTGGCCGAAGGAGCCGACGTTTGTCCGCAGACAGTTTTTCTGGGCCATGTGGCCAGCATGACTAAGCCGCTTCTGGCGAACCAGAGCAGCACACGGAAACGCCATTTACCTTCCCGCCAGAGCGGTACCTGTTTATCTACATGCACTTTGATGTGCTTTCGAACTGCTAGGTTGGCAGGAGCTGGGAATGAGCAACGGGAGCTCACCCCGTTGCGGGGATTCAAACCGTTGACATTCTGATCAGCAAGCCCTAGCCTCAGTGGTTTAGACCACACCACCACCCGCGTCCTTAACATAGTTACCATGAATACACATTTCTCTGTTAAAAAGCCTAGGGTGTTATATCGATCTGGGGAGGAAAGACTCTCAACTTCTATGCAACATGGTATCCTTTTATTGACTTCATTAACACAATCGAACATGGTTTCACCCTCCATCAACTCATGGAGATACTTTCGTTTGATTACCTTTCTTGGAATGTCTAAAACTATCAGCTGCTATTTTTCTTTCTTTCCTGTACTAAGCTCTGTTTTCCTTGTATGGGTATGTTTTGTTGTTGAAATTAAAAAATAAATTTAAAATCTTATTTTTTAAAAAAAGCCTAGGGTGTTAATTTTTATTTATTTATACATTTTCCATAATTTGATACATCCACGAAACAGTTATTATAATTTATCCTACATTCTTGCACTGCCCACACCCTCCTCAATTCTTGTTACCTGCATTTCCTTAATCACCACCTTTCCTCTGGCTGTTTTTAACTGCAACCTACTTGTTATTGTATTTCTTTATATATTCTCCAAAGTATTCCCACAACTCTCTTGTGTCCGATTCATCCCGATTCCTTAACTTTACAGCCAGCATTGCTAATTCCACATATTCTATTAGCTTATTCTGCCAGTCCTCTTTTGTAGGACTATTTTTATCCTTCCACCTTTGGGCATACATTATTCTGGCCGCTGCTGTTGCATAATGGAAGGGATTAAGTACTTTCTTAGGTATTTCACCCTCTATTACACTCAACAAGAATATCTCTCTTTTGGGGGGGAAATGACAGCCTTAACATCTTTTTAAATTCTGAATATATCATCTCCCAATATACTTTGGCTTTCTTACACCCCCACCACATGTGTAAGAAGGTCCCCTCCCTCTCTTCACACATCCAACATAGTTTAGTTCCTTTTAGAATACATTTTTACAAGTTTACTCGGGGTGAGATACCATCTGTAGATCATTTTTTGTAGGTTCTCTTTTAGAGTACAGCATGCTGAGAAGTTTATCGTTGTTTTCCATAGCCTCTCACAGGATACCATATCTACGTTGGGTCCTAAATCAATTGCCCATTGAATCATGGATGTTTTTGTTGTTTCTTCCTTGGTCTCCTATTCTAATAAGATTTTGTAAATTTTGGAGACTAATTGTTCTTTATTTCCCATTAGTACTTTTTCAAGTTCTGAGTCTTGCTCAGAAAATCCTCTTCCTTTGTCTTTCTTAAAAATCTCATTTAATTGGTGATATTGGAACCAGTATTTAATCCAATTTTGTATGTCTTTTCTTTTTTTTAAATTTTTATTCTCCTTCTTTAAATTCTATGATATCTTTGTAGGTACCCCATTCTCCCTTTGTATTTGTCCTTTTATTGATAGTGCTTCCACAGGCGATAGCCAGCATGGCGTTTTCCTTTCTAAAGTGTCCTTATACCTTAACCAAACTGAATAAAGGCTCCTTCTTATTATATGGTTAAGGAACCCTAGGGTGTTAATTCTACAGGTACAAAATAGGCAAGTTGAGAGAATGCTAGCACCATATAAGGAGGCCACCTACGCTTGAGAATAGCACTCAGCTTTTATTATTTTTAACATACATGTTTCTAGCCCTCAATGAATGAAGGTAGGCTTGGAAAATGTATGCATGAACAATGCCTGCTGAAATCAGTGCTTTTGCTGAAAAGAGACATCAGTAGAAGTCGTAGTTCTGGTTCCAAGCCAGCAGTAGCAGAAATAAAGAAACTGTACACACATTTGTTTAGTTTGCATGCTTTAGAATATTTTTGTTGTTGTTATACAATGTGTACGAAGCCTGAATTATGAGGAGCGGAAACACATCCTAAATAAAAGCCACATGCAAATGTTTCAAGTTTGTTCAGATTCAACAATATAGTGCTTCATGTAGTTGCTAAACAATCCTCTTTATAAATATCTGAAACTTGCTGTCATCCTTTCGGTTCAGTCAAATTTAGGTTTATTTATCTTTTTGAATATTTATAATCTGCACTTTCATAAAATATATCAAGGCGGCTTACAACATGCAAAATGCAATAAAGTTAGTCTGTAAAGATCCACAAAACATAACTAAAAGCATCAACAAAATATTAGCAGATTCCGGTTTGTTAAAAAGAAAAAACTGTATTGTGGAAGCTTGTGTAACCAACGAAGTTTTCAGCAGGCGCCTGAAGGAGGAGGGCTGACTACCTGCTGAATCTCTACAGGCAGGGAGTTCCGCAGGGAGTTCCACACTAAACTCTCAGCTCCTAGAAGTGTCCCATCAGAGGAAGTGAGTGGTTGAGGTGGAATATATAGGGTCATGCTTTGGAACTGACTATGGGACCAAGTTCCCATAGGGAAGTTTTTACTGTTTGAGGTATTATAGTATTTTAATTTTTTTTGGAAGCCGCCCAGAGTGGCTGGGGAAGCCCAGCCAGATGGGCGGGGTATAAATAATAAATTATTATTATTATTAGTAGTAGTAGTAGTAGTAGTAGTAGTTGCGTACGGCTTTGTTAATTAACGCAAAAATTTTGAACCTGGCCCAGGCTGCTGCAAGTCTCTCAGCAGCAGAGTAACCTGTTGGCCAGGATCTGTTCCTGTGAGCAGTCTGGCCGCTGCACCGTGTACGAGTTGCGGGTTCCCAACCAGATACTGTACAAGGGCACCCTTCCCAAAGCTAAAAGTGGCCACCTCCTTCAGCCTTACCCCCACATCCCAAACCTACTCCCAAAATTTACGAAGGCATTACACTAAGCGGCAATTTCTGCATGGTGGGTTAGGCTGCAACTCACAAACACATTTCGTAGGTAGATCACATTTTCGGATTTGCTGTGTTTCTGTAAGCCAGAGAACCTTTGGTGGCTTTTTCCATGTGGGTGTGCTAGAAATGAGATGGGCTATTGGCATTAACTTCCTTCATGATAAAGGCACACAGTTCTTCAAACTTAAGCACTGTTGTACCTGTAATTAACCCTCAACACACACACGCACCCCCCAACCATAGCCTTTATTCTTCTATGATAGAAAGGCAACTACTTTTTCTTAGTTTTGTTTTCTCTACACTTCCTGCATTGGATAATGGAACCAAAACGGACAGTAGCAAGGACTAGAAAAAACTTCCAGGCTAAGAGGTGTTTAATAAGATATACTTCACAAGTAACCATAGTAACACACATCTCATAGAACTCAGAATATAGAGCTGGAAGGGACCCAGAGGTCATCTAGTTTAACCCCCTGCAGTTTTCAGCCACAAGGACAAAGGCCTTCTAGCCCCATATTATAGGTTACCGGAGTCTCTTCTCTGCCTGCCATACTTCATACCCATTTATTCTGCATGCTTCTGCCCAGTATTGGATTCTGAAATGGGATGTTGCTCAACCAACTACAACAGTTTCCTAAGAATATTTTATCTCACCGCGCATCTGGCTCTACTTGTTATCAAACAGCTGCAACTGAAACACATTCAGCTACATCCACCAGCTGGACAGGGAGCTGGGGGAGGGAGGGAGGGAGGGACGAAATGCAGGGCACATTTTGTTTGGTGCCTATGCAAATGCAATTAGCAATGTTACATATATGTGCACTATAAAAAAACAAAACAAATTAGTCTAAGCCCCTCCCTCAGATATTTAACTCTGAGCGTCCAAAGGGAGAGTGCTGACACCGGATGAGTTTTCCCAAAAGGTAAAATATGGGAAAGGGTCTCACCAGGAAGAGATTGTGAAACAGGTTATGTACGAAGCAGAGGGGAAAACACGATGGAATCTCATAGCAGAAAAGCAGGAGATATCATGCTAATGGTTAAATTCTAAGGTAGCAAACCAGAAAAGTCCACGTCAAGGTCCCAGTTTGGGCAGAAAGAAGCACACATACAATCCTCCAACGCAAGGATACTCCTGGACACCCATGTTTTAATCCCAGCTCCTGCAGAACTCAAACCATCTAACCAGCAAACAGTCTTTCTGGAATTGGCAGATGGATGGTGTGTGTGTGTGTGTGTGTGTGTGCGCGCGCGCAGGGGACGAATACAGGCCACATCTTGCATGTGATCCATTGGGCTGTTAGATCTCTAGATCACTTGGGATTGATTTACTGATTTGTATCAAGGTGGTTGTGGTGGGAGATGAAGGATTTCCCACACCAAGGGGAACAGAGCTGAGGAGCTCTGCCCCATCTGGTTGGCATGCAACACGGCTGCTCCAGCTGCTCAGACACAAACCGTTCCTTGTGCTGTTACAATTGTGCTGCAGCAGCATAAAATCAACACAATATACACAAAAAAGCCGACCAAGGGGACCAAGTGAGAGCAGGGGAGGGGAGTTTCGGTGTCAAACACCTCAGTTGAGAGAAGATACAGATGACTCATTTCAAGGTCAAATAGCTCCACAGGGCTGCTTAAAATCACAGGTATTAAAAGGCTGTGTTTAATGAAAGAAAGAAAGAAAGAAAGAAAGAAAGAAAGAAAGAAAGAAAGAGAAAGAAAAGTTATGAGGCTCAGTAAGCTTACAGACAAACAGGAGACCCAACCAACTTATAACCCCTTTTTGTAGTGTTCTTCAGGGTGAGTCAACTGAACTAAAAATGTCGCTGATCCAGTGGAAGTCCAAGGACACCGTCTTAGACTTCAAAAACCAGGATAGCTGATGAGCTAACGAAAAGAAATGAAGAATAACAATGTGCTATACTTCTGTGGCTGCACCTTTGATGCAAGGAGGGGGAGACAAAAAATTAATACAGTGGTACCTCGGGTTACAGATGCTTCAGGTTACAGATGCTTCAGGTTACAGACTCCGCTAAACCGGAAATAGTACCTCAGGTTAAGAACTTTGCTAAAGGATGAGAACAGGAATCGTGCTCCAGCAGCACGGCGGCAGCAGGAGGCCCCATTAGCTAAAGTGGTACCTCAGGTTAAGAACAGTTTCAGGTTAAGAACAGACCTCCAGAACGAATTAAGTCCTTAACCCGAGGTACCACTGTACTCCCCTCATCAAAAACTGCTGCCAGGAAGAAGGGTTCTAGTATAGCACTGCTATGTGCAGGGATGTTTTAAGGCAGGGAAGTATTTCATCAGGAGATTTCCCCCATCTCTATCTTGTAGTGGCATTGTCTCATGACAACTGCATCACATGCTTTTTCTGGAATAACTTCTGCATCTTCCTGTACATGCCATATTATTAACCTGGCACCACATTAAAACACACTGGAACAAATGTTCTCTGTTGTGCAGAGGCACGGCAATGTAGTGTTTACA